CCAATTACATCACTACTTCTTGTGGAGACATTCAGCGATGTACTTATCCGCATCAGTTTTTTTCACAGTTGACGTGATGGAGCGACGTATGTTGTAGTTCTTGATTGTAGCAACATCTTTTTTTTGTCCTAAAACTCATCCGTAAAAAGAGTAAATAAAATTTTCAACTTACCAATAACAAATTAAAATAAATAATGAAAACTTAAAACATTATATTAACCTGAAAACCATTCCAACATAGAGATCACCATCACTACGTTGATTGTATTGCTCAATGTATGGGAATTGGAAAAATTTCGGAGCGTTGAATTATTCAATATCAATTCTTGTAAAGTGAGAATGTGGTTGGTAATAAGAAATAGACATTGCGGCATATGGAACCGTTGTACCCGCATCGTATTATTCGTTGTCTTCAGCTTCTGGTGGCATATCAAGGTCTTCTGGTTCTTTATAGAATGAGTCTAACTCATCACCATCAGGGTCGGGCTCCCTTATTGGTTCTTTGTCAAAATGATACCCTCAAAATGGAATAGTGCAACCTCGTTTAAATTAAAGTTAGTCGCTACTATAGGTGTTCGTCGATCACAAGACCACTCACTAACCAATTCCCCAAGATCAACGTCACGTACATCAGTAAAAGAATATCTCCCTATATGTATTGAGACATTATTCACAGAAGGGATATACATTTAATATCATCCAGATGAGAAATCATCGAATGGATTAAACGTGGATTGTTGCATTTATGGCATGTTCAAGTCAAACTCGAATCTAGAAACGCAATAATGCCTTGACATCGAAGACGATGATGCACCCAAATCGTTCTATGTACCGTGTGTGCTTAACAAATTGAAGTTCTTTATAATATCTTCCGTCAGAATGTCAATAGTTGGATCAAAGTCAAACTCCACTCATCTTTAACTTGGCACACTGGTACCATCATTAGTATCATAAAATAATGCAAACAACTCCGTCGGCCCTCTAAATGAATATTGCAAGTGAGCTTTAACTAACATATGCACATCACAATTGTCCTCAATGGTGTATATCGTGTACATTACTGGTTTTAACGACGTCGGTAGTCGATACTTAAAGGGTAACAATTTTGTACCATGGTCATGTGGGGTATTTTTCTTCATTTCATTCATCAACTTGTTATAATTTAACTTCGTTGGTAGCGTTATTGTTACAGTGTGAATAGACTAAAACACAACACCGAGAGATGCATCACCGATTATTTGGCCATCGAAACATACCAAAGTAGTAAGGATTTCTTTCATCGACATTTTAGTTAAGTTGTTGCCCTATAATAATGAATTACGGTTGTTTTATTGGCGTTCAAGAACCTCACGGGTTAAAGACGCGATTTCCAAATAACGCGGGTTGCAGGGTACGAGATCTTGGTATCTCGCATTTTGCAATATGTATGATTCTACTAACGTACTATAGATATCGCGGGATGCAGGGTGTAATTTTCACTGAAAATATTTTGATTAACTCAAAATAAAATATTTTAGTACAAATATTTTAGTTTTCAATGACGAAATAAATAACAACTAATAATGGCTATGTCCACCAGTTCCGCATCGTGGTGGACGATGAGTTTGACGCGGATGTAATTGTGGTTCCTCTTCCTCTTTAGCAATCATTATCAAGACCGACATCTGTATATGAAATCGATCTACCACTAGCATTTGAACCAAGACAAGTGTAAAATATACATTACGACAGCGTCTACTCAACAATACCAGATCCAAAGTTAGTCGTTAATTTTATCAGTGGTGAATATAACTAGTTAAAGACGTCGATGAGAAAGCCTTTTGAGAACTGCCCATTTGTTGAAATGTTGATTGAGTCGAGTGGGTGAAGACAGGGTCAAGGTGTGTCAACGATGTCTAAAGAGCTCCCTGTGTTGTTGCCGATGAGGATGATGCACTTTATTGTCTTCTTATTCTCTGCCTTGAGTCCCCCACGTTACGTCCCCATCCGTGGGTGAGTCTGTAGAGGAACATATAATTCTCATACTCGCTCCTCATTGGTCAATATATGTGGCATCCCAAATTCTTGGTACTATCGCATATAATCGTATGTCACGCTGTGGTCGAAGATGGGTTGAGTCATGGGCGTCCTCTCGAATCTTCGAACCCACTCGTTCAAATACATCATATTATGGTCCGTCCAATTAATTTTTGTCTTTTCTTGTCACGTCAATTGATGCAACTCATCCAAGCAATGTGGATGTGGCGGAATTGATTGGACACAGTTAAATTATCGAAAGATGCGCTCGGTAAGATACCACTCGACTATCTTATACAATATCAAAAGGACTGACACGATGTACACGGGCATATTAGTCACCCAAATCTCATGTGGTATATAATCAGTAATAGCAACATCGCAGTAAGGCATCCACAGGAACTATAAAATTAAAATTACACAACTTTGTTAGCTAAAAACCTCAAATAAATTAAATTATTCTAAAGTTATAAGATAAAAATCGAAGGAAAATATTTTATTACCTGATGTCCAAACTTATCGATCAAGAGTCTGAAGTCTCGTTGATGTGTTGGTAAGTAGGCGTGAAAGGTTTCATCAGCCCACCTATCATTAATACAATAGAATTGTATTATGTGTTAGTAATATTATAACAATAGGTAAAAAATATTTTTTTACCTATTAAGTAACAGAAATTCATATGGGACATGTGTTTTAAGGATCGAACATAAAAATGACATTCGGATCCATGCCCATTATTGCAACAACAATAAACACCCTCAAATGAAATTTTTCGTCTAATTTACGGCTCTACAAAACTGCTAGAACAAAAATTTCAAAATTGTTAACCCCCAATTTATATTTCTTGAATCACTCAAAATTTGCAAATGATTCAACCACATTAAATGCACCTTATTTCGGTATTTTTCTAGCATTAAAATCCCCCAATAACTCGTAATATATGTGCACGAGTAAATCACTTCAAAAAATTAATAAAATAATATAACTACTTAATTTCCAAAAAAATAAATAAATTGAAATATTAATAAATATTCATAGATAAAAAATTATATTTACATCATTCACTTCATGCTCCACATTCTAGGGTAGGTTCGTAAAATTTTCATTCAAAAATTTAATTTTTATTTTTCCACCATCGCGTGCATCATCAGGAGGATCAATTCCGAGCAATACCTCACATATATTTCTAGGGGCACCAACAACACCAGTAATGGCTACTCCATCAATAGGCAGTCTCAGATGAAATGCAATATCTTGTAGGGTAATAGTTGTCTCCCCACACAATAAATGAAACGTGTGCATTTTCGTTCTCCATCTTTCCACCAACGCATCTATAAGTGAAGGATGCAACTTCACACCGTCACCATTTATACTACTGATATATCCAAAACCGACTAAATGTAAATATTCAATAATATATGTATTGGGAGTTGTCACACGATTTATATGACACTCTAATACACGTTCATATCCGTATGAAATATAAATATTAAAAAATATTTAAATAACAAAACAAATAAACTAAATCAATCAATAAATAAATAATAAAAATACAAAATAATACTAATTAATTTACCTCATCATTTCACCTCCAATAATCGAATATGTGATTTCGATCATGTCTTAATAGACTCACCGCCGTGATATGAAATCTTTAAATATATGAAAGGGATGGGTGTGGTGCCTGGGGAAGTGTAGCTTTAAATGTGACTCGCGTCCTGCGAGTTACGTTGAAAACACGTATAATTTATTCCGTTCGTAATACCTCACGGTTTGTAAGATGGGAGATTGTTACCCGCTTTTATCTTTTAAATTTCAAAATATATTATAATTATTTTTTTTTATAAAATATATATTTTAATTGCTATATTTATATATTTTAATTATTTATTATATTTAATAAATTAATATTATTAATTATTATTATATTCATTTAATTTCTACGTTTCAAATTAGGTTGCTATACGAAATTCAAAAGAACTTTGCGCTTTGTAAGCAACGAGGTCTCTCACAAAATCTCGCGATATTTTGAATCATAAAGACTATCTCACATTTCGTAATGCTCACGGTCATTTTTATCCAATTGTTTTATTGACTTATCTGAAAAGTGAGCCCATGTCGGATTTATCTCGCGTGTTGAAGAGTGCGAGGATTCAACACGCGGTTTGCAGGCCGCAAGATTATCCGATATGGACGATTTAGGAGTTATTCTTTTAAGTAATTTATGTAATGCCCTATTTATTTAAATAATTATTTATTTATGGTTTTTAATATAAAATTACCTAGATGCCCTAATGCTAATTGAGCTTGTGGGCCCAATAATTTTTATCCCCTTTGACGAACGGCAACGCGGTTTTGTGTTACATCAAAGTGTTTTTCTTGGAAGAACCCGTTTCAACTTAATTTCCTATTTGCGTTTATGTATAGATCTGTCAAAAAATAAATAAATTTAAACCTCTTATTATAGTCTAAAAGCATACAATACATCTAGGCCAATAAAACCACTAAATAAGTCAAATAAGTAAATTTTAGCATATTTTAAATAAAATAACTTATTCAAATATAAACAAATGATAGACTTCTATCATTTTCAATATTTATTTGAGTTGAAACAAAACATTTATTTTATGAAAATAAAATTTTCAATTAAAATAAAAATTATTTCAATAAAGCTTATTTTTGTTCAAAGAAGAAAATAAAATTGTAATAAAAAAATATAAAAGAATTTAAGACATTTTTAATGTTTAGCAAATGTAATTACGTAATACTGGATAGTAAGGAGAAACGTGGCAAAACACGATTAGACGGCGGTAATGAACTAAAGTGGCTCGTGGAACAGAAAACGAACTCCCACAAATCCTGCTTTGACTGCACTCAACAAAGCGCCGAACCGGTGCGTTTTATACCTCACCCTCCTCGATATAAACCAACACCTCTCGGAGCCATTTTCCTTAACCCATTTTTGCTTAACCAACCTTCATTTCACAAACATAAAAAGAAGTTATATATTTAAAGAAAGAAGAAGAAAAAACTATGGCTCCCAGATCAACGCCCACTCCGATTAACCCGATCTCTGACCCGAATGCAAAGGAGATCCGCTACCGTGGTGTTAGGAAGCGCCCATGGGGCCGTTACGCAGCCGAGATCCGAGACCCCAGAAAGAAGATCCGAGTCTGGCTCGGCACCTTCGACACGGCTGAGGAAGCAGCGCGTGCTTACGACGCGGCGGCGCGGGAGTTCCGTGGCGCTAAGGCTAAAACAAATTTCGCTGATAATAACGTTAACGATATCACGCGCAGCCCCAGCCAGAGCAGCACCGTGGAGTCTTCTTCTCCGCCGCCGTTGGATCTCACTCTCGCCAGCGCGTGCTCTTCGTTCCCTGTGACGGCGCATCGTCCGGTTGACTTCTTTGATGCCTTTGCTTCCTCCGGGAAGGGTTGCCCCACAACTGGTGGCGCTCAGAGCGACTCCGATTCGTCGACATCGGTTGTAGATTTTGAAGGCGGAGTGCGGCGGAGAGTGTTTGATCTTGATCTTAATCAGTTGCCCGCTGAGATGGATTGATTTGTGTCTCTTTCTCTTCCAGATGTCGTTTTGAGCTTCAATCCTCTGCGTTTTGGGCTTTCCTTTCGTCTTATTTTTTGAGTTCAAATTTAAAAAACTGACAGGTTAATGTATTATGTATGTAAAAAAAACATGTAACTCAGTTATTATCTCTATTTTTGACAGCTTGAGAAAATTTTCTCAACGGTGTTTCTACTTTATTATAATTAAAAAATTAATAGCGAAATTAAATATTTTCTTATATTTGGAAATTTGCCTAAATTTACTGATTTTAATATCTTTGGTCAAAAAATTAATTTTATTTTATCCATGGCTACGTATGGAATTCAAGAAGACAATGAAGCGACACGTCAATGTCAATTTAGTATGCTTAGCGGGAGATTTGGCGGATGTTAGAAACTCTGTTTGATGACGGCTCTCGTGGGCCCTTTAAAATAAAGTAAAATGAAATCAGCTGCTTCCGCTAAAAAATATCTATTGCTACTCGAGTGATCGAGACCGTTGTTTAAATCTGAGCGAACATCGAAGGGTCAGGATAAGGGGGAAGTGAGGGAACGTGGAAGTTCTGGAATACTCGTAAGAGGGAATGGAGGGCGCAAAGTGAGAGGCGGGAATCATGAATTCGTCGTTGGGCCCATGAGGTAATTCCGTGTTGACGAGGTTGATGTAGTGGCAACTGGCAAAGATGGCATTTAATTTGAGTTTCTTTTTAAAGGGAAATTTGCAGTAGTGGCTATCATTGCTCCTATATTTGGAGGCACATCATACCAATTATTTATCCTTTACCTAACTTAACCAAAATAATAATAATAATAATAATTTATTCAAAAATCACCAAAACTTTTTAATAAAAACTATTATGACACTTTTTTTTTTAATATTTATCAAACTAACATCTTTTTTTAAATCGACATAAGGAGACATGTTTGGGGTAACACACTTTGCACATGTGATAAAAATGTGTATTTTTAAGGGGAGTGCCTTCGCTGTGGTGGCACGACACATGAAAAACACGTCCCATGGAGTGAGCTTTTCTCAAATTTTCATAAAGTATTTTTGGTATTATATAATTATAATTTATATTATTTTTTATTACATATGTTACACATAGGCCCAAGACCAAGTGACCCAGGCCCAACATATACAGCAGGCTAGGGTTTTCAAAATCCTAGCGTCCCAAGCGACGCCACAACAGTCAACCCAGGTTCCCCCACGCTGCACGCCGCCAACTTCGATTCTTTCGACGCAAGGAGAGCACGAAGATCCCTCAGTAATAACCCACAATCGATCATCTCGGTTCAACAGTAAACAAATAGCAAATGTTAGTTTTTAACTAGGGATCAAATACCCAAAAATAGGGTTGCTTGAATATTATAAGTAGCATGTAATCCCTACTGTAATTTTCACTATTTTCATACAAAATACAAGCAAACTTTTGCACAAAAAATTCCACAAAAATACGAGCAGTGATATTCGAAGTATTTTACGATTTTTCAAAAGAAACAAAGGTAAAGGTCGAACCTTTTCTCGGATTTATTCTTGCATGCGTCATTCATGGTTGCTCTTGATTCGAAAAACACCAAATAAAATGATTTTTTGACTATGAACAGGGGCATTTTTCGGGATCTATTTTCATAGATCTAGCCTCCAAGGCTTATTTTCTTGAGAAAATACTTGGATTTTCGGAATGTGTGTGAAAAGGGGTTTTGAATGGTAAATTTTTTTTGGGTTTTGCCGCTGAGGACTGACGACGGCGAGGCGACGTGTGGCCGTGTTCTGGAAAGCACGGCGGCGTGTTCATCCGCCTTATGAACACGCAAGAAAAGGCGAGAGGATTTGTGGGATCTGTTTTTGATCCAAATTAAGGGTGATTTTAATTATGAAATGTGTTTCTGTTTTTTGAGTTATATAGTGAGCCCGTAAGTCGACCCACGACCTGACCCATATACTTACAACCCGAGTGTTTTTGTTTCAAAAGGGGTAAACCGTGCTTTTGGTCCCTCCGATTTGAAAAGGCTTTTGTTTTGATCCCAAATATGAATCTAAACCCCGATTTTCTTCTGAATTTGGCTCCCAATATGGTTTTTATTTCAAATTGACGCCATTATCATTATACATATATTTTCATATTTTTATTTTATTCTTTATTTTTACTATTTTATTTTTGTTTATTATTATATCTTATTTTGTATTATTTTATTTCTCTATTATTATTGTATTTTTCCATATAGTATTTAATTATATATATGTATATATATATATATATATATATATATATATATATTTCCATTTATTTATTTTATTTAAATATCATATTGTATTATTTTACACATATAGGTTTTGTTTTCTCTCTTTATTTTTTTTATTAATATTAATATTAGTATATATATATATATTATGGTTTTGTTTACTTTATATCTATTTTTTATTTATCTAATTTTATTTTCACCTCGCTTTATTTATTTATTATACATATATATTTTTTATTATTTTTTCTGATGTAAATCAATTCGTTAGATATACATAGAAGCACCACACATCCTGACCGAAAATGAAACATAATTATTAATAGCATGGGACCCTTAAAACCTATTAGCTAAAGGCATATTTTTTTTTGACAAAAACAAGCAAACATGCGGTCCTCACATCCTTTTTTATTATTCTTTAAATTTTATTGCCTTTACCCTTTTTAATTGTTTTAACCTTACTTTATTATCATTTTTTATTTCTTTTTTTACTTTATTTCCATTTTTTATTTTTTTATTTTATTATTTTCTTGATGTTCATTTTATTACTTTCCTTCTTGTTTTTATTTGTTGATTTTATATAGATTTTTACTATGTTATCTATTGTTTCATTTTTTTGTTTTTATTATTTTCTTCATGTTGAATTCCTTATTTCCTTTTTCTCTCTCAATTGTATTTGTTTTCATTTTTTTTCTCTAACATATTTCTTGACTTTTGTAAGGGTACACTTTTAAAACTGTCAGCGGTAAGTAACTTGGATCATTATTTTACCTTTTAATTTAGACTTATAATTTTCTTAATTTAAGACAACTGGAAATTGCGTAGTACCGAAAGGGCAGTTCAAGGGTGCTAACCCTTCCTTGACTGTAACCGACTCCCGAATCCGACACATCTTTGGTAAGGCGCAGATTTGGTAAGAAATAAGGTATCCGATCAACCTATTTTATTCTTAAAATAAATGATCGGTGGGAACTCCAAATCGTTTAATCCAAGTCGAAACCCAATTTCGGGCCCACCCGAAAGACGGTTCCGACAGCTTGGCGACTCTGTTGGGGACACAAGTAAGTGAGTTAGGCTAAGGTAATTTCCATTTGTTTTTTAACGAAAATGATAAGTTTAAATTTTAAGGTAACTCTTCGATCCATATTGCTTACTTTTGGTTATATTTTCAAGTAAATAGCTGTACTAATCGTTTTCTAATGATTTCAGTCTTCAAAGCTTCTTTTTCACTTAAGGCTCTAAACCTGAGCTCCGAACCCTATTTTAAGTAGGGGTAAAAACGACACCTTCGTGTGAGTTTATTCACCACACAGGCCTAGCAAGTAGCATTCGGGATTCATATACCTTATTTCTTCATGTGAATTTATTCACCGCATAGACATAAGGGAATGTGTCCTCTCGAGTTTAACTTAGTCCACACAAGCTTGTGATTGGTTTAGGACTAAGGGTCTGGTAAGCCCAAGGGGGCGCCGGCAAGGAGAACTCAGGTACCATTTTTTAGAACCTAAATCGGGAGAATATGGAGATTTAGAGCCTACCCCAAAACCAAATTCCAAAACCCAATATTTTTTTACTCTAACCATGTTTTTTTCTTTTACTTTTCATTCTTTCTTTCATCATTTTTTTACTTTTATTATTTTACTAACTTTTTACCTTTGTGTTTGTTTTATAGCATTTGTATCATAACAAGAGGCCATTGATCCCTAAAAAGGTGTTTATTACACACAAAATAATATGAATTAATGGATAAAGGTGTTGTAATACAAGAGATTGAAAACCCTGAGGTACGACTATGGTCCGAGAAGACCTAGAAGGAAAAAGGAGACAGTATTCAAGGAAGCTATATGTCAGAGCTGGTTAGCTACTCTCTTATTAGCCTGAAGCAGAATAATGCTCAAGAGCTTTGAGACATATAGGACAGTTGGAAGAATAATCAGAAATAGAAGTTCAGCCAACGGTACGGTGACATTGCACTTTTGCTTCATGTTAAGACTGATGAGCCCTTGATCAGAGCCTTGGTTCAATTCTGGAACCCAGGATACAATTGCTTCACTTTTAATCGGGAGGACATGGTGCCCACCATTGAAGAGTACAATACACTGATGCACTCTGAAAGCATCAAACTAGAGCGAGCTTACATTACACACATCAAAAGTTAGCCTTTCAAGAATGCACTGGCCAAGGTTACCGGGGTTGACGAAAAATGGGTAACTGACCGGGCTCGATGTAAGGGCAATGGGGAAGGAATTGCTTGGCTTCATATCAAGCAACTGATGAAGAACCATCCCGATGAGTGGAAGGTAATAGACCTGTTTGCACTGGGTCTGTATGGTCTGATTATATTTCCAAAGACTTTGGGATACATTGATGCTGCTGTGGTAGAGCTGTTTGAACAACTTCCATGACGAGTCAACCCAGCACCTGTCATATTAGCCGAGACCTTTCGATATCTTAATCATTACAAAAGAGCTGGTGGAGGAAGGTTCATTGGGTGTGTTCAGCTCCTTCAAGTCTGGATTCACAACCACTTTTGGAAGACTAACGGGGTTTCCTACCACTGATTTAGCACTATCTATTCACCTTTGGGAGAGTTCATCACAATGAAATGGCATGAAGGTACTTCAAAGGAAAAGTGGATGAAAGTCTTTACACATATTCAGGATCGGTATATTACCTGGAGAGCCCCCTGGTTGTTCCTCGGTGACGTTCTTTTCCGGTGTGGGGATTCTGATACTATGACCTTACTTGGACTTTGGGGTGCAGTTGGGTATGCTCTGTTGTTAGCACTTAGATAGTATGGGGCACGTCAGTTTATCCCAGCAACAAGCAGACTAGCTAGATCAGAGTTTGTGTATCACGGTGACAGC